TACCCTTAAAGTCTTTGCTTAGGATGCCTTCTACAAGACAGTAGCTGAATGGAATTGACTTATGCCCAAGATAAGTATTTGTATGGAAACCAAATCTCTAGCTTTTACTCAACCAAGACTTTTCAGGCCAGGGTATTTCAAATCAGAGTTCAATTTCTCCTAGCCTTTGTCTAAAAAAGCAAATACTACAAGGCAGCAGGACATGGGGCAGGCAGAAATGGAATACATGTTACCAGTAGTTGTGTTCAAAGAGTCATTTTGCAAAATTTAGTATTTCTGAATTTGTAGTTATAAATTAGTAACATTAGTATATAAATTAGTAAATTAGTAATTTTTTATAAACTTGTTGCTCCCACATTAAGGGCCGGGTGGGCCCAAAAATTAGGTTTTTTTTGTTCCCAACCTCCAATCACTGCAATTCTTTGCAAAACATCCTCATTTGACATAAGCACGAACATACAAAAGTTTGGAGTTTGCACAATGCCTGTAAGTGTCAAAACTCAAACATCTAAAAATCTAGTGTACACCACTGCATGGTAAAATGAATTTATTAGTAATAAAATAACATTAAAAAAAAAGAGAATTTCTCAACTGTTTTTAACAGATAACTCATTTCAGCTTTTAAAACTAAAGTTGTATAAAAATTCATTGAATTTTGAAATAGTAGAGCAAGAAAACAATTGACAGACGACTTAAAAGATTGCAAATTATATGAATCAGGAAAGCAAGATGAAGGTAAAAACTAGAGGAATAAGAGTTTTTAGAGCACTTAGAAACAGTCACAAAACAGTCTTGAGATAAAGGAGAGCGATATAGAACAAAGAGAAAGGTGATAGAGTTAAGTGGTGCTAAATAAAAGCACATAAAAGAGTAGTCTGTGGATTGAAATTTAGTTTCCTGACAAATGGGTGAATTCTTACAATTGTAAATGCCCAGGCCCAACATGTGACCATTGGAGTATTTACGAATTAAAGTAAGATACCTATCAACACTAAGATCACAAGATGAGACAGCTGAACTCAAATTAGTCTCACAAAGAGCAAGTAGGTGAACTTTGCAAGAGATAAGACTCAACAGAAGAAAAGTTACTTTGAAAACCACGAGTATTTGTGAATAGTTTAGAGAACTTGGTGATGGCAATAGTTTTTTGTGTTTTATAGTTTTTGGTACTTTATTCATTTATAAGTTTGTTGAAGAACTTGACTCGAAACATAGATAGTACTTAGTGCACTGTTTAATAGCCAAAACAATAGCCTCATTACTGTTGATAAACCCTAAACCGTAACAAAGAGCTCCAATGTGGCCTTGGTAATTCACACTAAAAGTACAAACAGGGACACCATCTATGCGCAATATGGCACTGTTAATACATTGTTATTTTTCAGCTGTTGATGGAATCAGTCTCTCTGAGAGCTACCTCAGAGTTCGGGAAACCTGACTACTACTAGTCGGCCTCAGAACCATAAAACTGAGTTTTAGAGCTGTACCCTCATTAGGAGATAATAGAATGATTTGCTTAGTCATAAAAATAGAGTCACAAGCTAGGCTTCCAATTATTTTGAGCTTTCAATTCTAGACATAAAAAGTATAAAAATGGCAAAAAAAGAAAATTTTGAAGTATCATTAAAAGAAGATCCTCCAAAGACTTTTCTTTGTAAAATATTCAATCAATACCTTGATAAATCTATCCACTGTTTTATGATATACTGTTGTTACTTTCAACGTAAATGTTCAAATGATGCTCTTTCTCTTTTAGTAATAAAAAAATATTTTTTATATATAAGCCTGCTTTAGCACCTCTTTTTTATTGTTGTAAGGTTGCTAGGTCTTTTGCTTTTCAAAAATTAATGCCATGTTTGCTGTTCAAACAACTTTCTTATTCCAGCTAATAAAATTTTATTTCATATACTTTTTTACTCTTGTAATATTGATATATATATATATATATATTATATATATATATATATATATATATATATATATATATATATATACATATATATATATATATATATATATATATATATATATATATATATATATATATATATATATATATATATTATATATATATATATATATATATATATATATATATATATATATATATATGTATACATATATATGTATATATATATATATATATATATTTATATATATATATATATATATATATATATATATATATATATATATATATATATATATATATCAGGCCTTGTTTTAAATAAAAAAGTGCTTAATGCATTAGCTTAACGCGATTTTGACGTCATAAAATTATCTTTATTTTTTTTTATAGGCGTTAAGTGTTTTAACTACCGCAATAAATAAATAACCGCAAACTAATTCAATTTAACAATTAACTCAAATATATACTATAAACGTTTTAAATATAAATTTATTATGAAAATTTTGTAATGTTTTCAATTGTTATTTTATTATTAATTTTAGTTCAATATTATTTAATAAAAAATATATATATATATATATATTAATTATTTCTGAAATTTGATTTTGAATAATTGTTTTTAATCGTTATTGAATAAAAAATAATAATGATTTTTTTTATTTTTAAAAATTTCTAGAGTAAACAAAAAATATTAACATTGATAAACACAAACCCATGTTAATTATTTAAACAACGATTTTGTTTTGACTAGCAAAGAAAAATTTAAGTTTTTAAATATTTTTAAAATTTTTAAAAGCGTTTCAACTTGCGTTTTATAAAAATATAAAAAAGTTTTGTCTGCTTTGAAGCGTATTTTTGATACGTAGTTTAGAACGCGTTCGCTAGGAATTTAATTCATAAACTTTTTATGTTATTGTAAAAATATTTAACTTTTTAAACAAATCACAAAGAAACAGAGCTATAGAGAAAAATCGTTTTCAACGATTAAATCTTTTTTTTTTTTAATTTTAGGAAATTAAAAAAAAAATTAAATTAAATATAAAAGTCTTAATTATGCAAACTCTTTTATTAATTATTCTTAAAACAAAAAAACAAATACTTGTACGCCAAACTTTAATCGTGCAAACTTATAAAAATACTCAACTGAAATAATTTAAGTATATTTAATAATTTGAATCGTATCTGTTTATAATAAACGTTCGTAAAAATTTGTTTATTAAAAATTAAGTTCCTTAACTTATAAACAAACTCAAAAGTATTTTCATTCTACGTATAATTACAAAACTCTTTTTTTTTTTGTAAGCAATTTAACTTAATAAAATAAAAAAAAGAATAAATATGAGGTAATCTTTGTTAAGAATAAATTTAATTTATTTATTGAACTATATTTTTATTTTTAATTATATAACAACTTAATTAAAATATAGTAACATGTTAAAATATTTTAACATGACTTGTATTATTTATAAACCGTTGGGCAGTTGCCCTTACGGCACTATTGTTTTTGGATAATATTTTATTTTGATGAAGATAACATAACTTACATTTGATTTTAATAACGTAAGTCTTCTCTTTTTCTGTGATCATTGCATCGGCAAAGTCCCAAGATTTAAAAGTTTTTAAAGTAAATCTTTTGTCCTTCAAAATACAATCCATATTCGAACTTTAAATAATTTAGAGATAATAGAAATATACAAGGTTTTTATATACTAGTTTGTTTTGTTTTATAAAGAAAAATACATATTCATTAGTAAAAAATGGAGACTGTCATTAAACTAAAACGTGCCTTAGTATTTATTTAACGGAACCTGTAATGTGCGCGTGCATAATAAAACCTCTGTTATATAAATATATTCAACGTAATATTAGTGTCATCAGCGGATGTTGTAGTCTACTCATGATTTCTTTACCTTATATTATAACTTGATTTATGACAAAAAAAACTTATTGAATCGCACGCAGAAGAATTTTAACAAATTGTCTTCATTCAAATATTGCGAGTAACAGGTAATTTTTTTTTCTGTGCCGACCCCCTCCCCCCGCATAACTTAAACTATATACTAATAAACTAATAAGAAAAGCTATATACTATTAAACTAACTATAAGCTATATACTATTAAACTAATAAGAAAAGCAAAGACATTTTTTTTAACATCTCGAAAAAATGTCTTGATATTTTTGTTATCATGATAACAAAAATATTAAGACATTTTTTTTGAGATTTTATTTAAAAAAATGTCAATTCTTAATTACAAATTTTTTTGCAAATGTTTTTTATTATAAATTCAGTAAAAAATTCATAAAAAATCTATATTACAAAAAACTTTTATATTCTGTATTAATAAATATAGATTATAGATTTTTTAAAAGTTTTTTACTAAAAACTTTACTACTTTTTATTAAAAACATTGCAAAAAATTTGTAGTTAAGGATTGACAAACAATTTTTCATGTTGCTAAATATTTGGATAAAAAGTTTAGCGTCAAATTAATTGCTATAAAAAGGAAAGATATATCGCGATGAAAAGTTACAACAATTAATTTTAAAGTAAATTCTTTTTTTTAATAAATACCTTTACATATCGTTATTTAAAAGTTAATGTGGTTTTTTTGAAAATTAATTACTTCTTTTATGTTACCGCTTATTTAAAAGTTAAAAAATGATAAAAAGTAGCTTAACCAAAACAGCTCTACGCGTACGTAAAAAGCGCTTAAGGCGTACGTAAATCGCTCTAGGCGTAACGCTTTAAAACAAGGCCTGTATATATATATATATATGTATATTTATGTATATGTATATTTATATATGTATACATATGTATATGTATATTTACTAAATTTATCTTACCAGGACCACTACAGTTGAGAATAGTTTTATTAATTTATTTTTTCTAATGGTGTTTAATACCCTCTCTTAACTCTTTAATTCCAAAACATGAGTCCTGTTGAAAAAAAGTTGCTGGGTGGTGAGATTAAATTAAAAATTGTATAAGAGAGATTAAATTCAAGTTTGACTCTGCTAATAAGATTTTGTGATTGATAATATTTTTCATTATTGTTATTGGTTTTTTAAATTAAATTAATTTTAAAGGATCATGCTTATCGAACTTATGGAAACTCTTAGAAGAACGTCAGCCTCCAATCAATAATCCTTTAGATCAGTGGACGAAACCATACATTTGGAAGAAACTTGTTGAATGTGAACATGTCCAGTTTTATTATTTAGACTATAATGGAAAAAAACAAGATCCACCTCTTGCAAAAAAAAAGGTACACTCAAAATTTCTTAATTACCTATTTTTATTTATTAACACTATTATATATATATATATATATATATATATATATATATATATATATATATATATATATATATATATATATATATATATATATATATATATATATATATATATATATGTATATATATATATATATATATATATATATATATGTATATATATATATATATATATATATATATATATATATATATATATATATATATATATATATATATATACAAATAGTATTGCGTACAAAGGTAAGCAATCTGACGTCATACTAAAATAGCTTGCTGCTGGGGGCTTCAGTACATACATCAACTGACAAATAGCCTGACTCGTAGTGGAGTGCTGCTACATCGACTGAGGGTTTTGGATGGGGCAGCAATCGTTTCATTCATCATTCTTTGTTTTTTTTCTTCTTTTTCTAAGAAAAGTCGTATGGGTTAAGGTAAGCAAAAAAAGTGAGCAAATGCTTATAAAAATACAGTAAGTGTATATATATATATATATATATATATATATATATATATATATATATATATATATATATATATATATATATATATATATATATATATATATATATATATATACATATATATATATATATATATATATATATATATATATATATATATACATATATATATATATATATAAATATATATATATATATATATATATATATATATATATATATATATATATATATATATATTATGTTTTTTAGTATTAAATAATTAATTTTGATATTACATTTTTTATTATCATTTAATATAAATTTTTTTTATATTAAATGATAATAAAAAATGAAAAAAATTATTATTTCTTTACTGGTCATTTGTATTAATTAATTTCAATATCTTAATTTTTTTTTCAATATTTCTTAAAATTGCTATTTTGTAAATAATGATTTTTTTACTTTTAAAAAGTTATTTACAAACAAAAATCTTTACTTGTTGCAAAGAAAAAAAACTCAAGTTAATTACTTTGCAGTAGCTTTTTTTCGTGACAAAGTAAAGTTTCTAAATACCATTTATTATAAAATATATACCGTTGTTCTTTCACTTGCTTTAAGGCAAGTTATATTTATACTTAATGAATATTTTTGATGCAGTGTTATAAGTTATAACATGTTTACAACAAATGAAATTTTTTGTAAAAAAATAGAAAAAGAAAGAAGAAAAATAGAGAAAAAAAAAAATCTAATTTTTTCAATTCAAATAACTTTTTTATTCAAAATTCTTTCTAAATTCTAAGGAAATTTCTGTTTTTGCTTTTTTGATATTGCACAATCTGTTAATTATATAAACCTGATGTAACTATTATAAAATATTATATTTCTAAACTATTGTTTTTCTCAAAATAAAACTTATTAATATAAACAAAGACATTGCAAGAGTTATATTGCTTTAAGCGTAAATTCAAGCAAAAAAATTTGTAATAGAGTTATATCAAGGAGCTATAATAGACTGGAGGGAGAACAAAGTTAAAATATATCATTTCTCAAGGAATAGTCTTAGTAGTAACATAACTTTCTATTAAACACCACATAATTATCATAATTTAAAATTAACCAATCAAATTCCACTTTTAACAAAAATTATCCAATCATATTGTTTCAAAACATCATAAGTAACTAAAGCATTGCAAATAAAAGATAGAAGTTTAAAAAGTTCGTAAACAATCTTTAGAGTTAGGTTATTGTTTTTAACCAAGTAGTAGTAGTCTAAAACTTAGATATTTATGCCTAGTATCAAGGTATTTAAAAAACGATTACTTTGCGTTGATCATTATTTTTGTTTTGATTGCTACTTGATAGTTGAAACAGTTGTTAAAAACTTATCCAGTCAACTTTTAAATAAGTAATCCATTTAGATTACAGCATACAAAGTTTACAACTACATTTCAAAATTTTCCTTTTTAGCTCTAAGGCATCATTTTAACTTGCCGCTGGAATAATTATACAACAAAGACTGTTCTATGATTTCTCCCTCCATTCTATTATACCTCATTGTTTACATCCATACAAAGAGCTTTTTTATAATCATAAAAAAATAAACTCTTTATAAGATGTCCTTTAAAATTTTTTATAATGTTTTATCATTTTTTTGATACAATCAATCGTCATAACAAAACAAACAAACAAGCAAAAAGTTAAAATATTAAAAGTGACTGTAATTGTAATTAAAATATCAAAAAAGAAGTAAATGGCTTAGTGTGTATGTAAATGTAATGTAAATGGTGCGTTATTTTACGCTTTTCAAACAAGGTCTATATATATATGTATATGTATATATATATATATATATATATATATATATATATATATATATATATATATATATATATATATATATATATATATATATATGTATATATATATATATATATACATATATATATATATATATATATATATATATATATATATATATATATATATATATATATATATATATATATACATATATATATATGTATATATATATATATATATGTATATATATATATATATATATATATATATATATATATATATATATATATATATATATATATATATATATATATGTATGAGTTCTTGTGAAGACATTGCAAAAGTTATATTACCTTCTCTAGTTGGTAACAATGTTTTTTGTAACTCGACAGCGATATATGTAAGTGTTGGAATATGATCCAGAGACCTTGAATGAATTTCTTTCAGTCTCTGCAAAGCAGTGTATGCAGCTTATTGTGTTAGAGTCATCTTCAGTCTTGTTGCAACAGAAACAAGCTTTGGCTTTTGTAGATAGTCATAAGGAATAAATGCTGATGTACCACTCTGGGCTGAATGATGATAACTTCTGGGAGTTTTTCCAGACAAAGCAGAAACAGTTGATTTGGATATTAAAAAAATGTTACTGTCACTATCTGCTAACATTGCAACTGCAGTCTACAGTTTATTTGACATAATTACATCCTTTATTCGCAACATTTAATTTTTTGAGGACAATAATTTATTATGAGAACCAGATCTTCACATAAGAGTCGTGCTACTGCAAGCTCTATATGATTATGCATATAATACTTTGTTTTGACAACTTAGCCACAGCTCTTTGCATGTTTTGATAATTAGTGCTTTTAAAAAATACGCTAAAAAAACAAAGCAAACTTAAATTAAACAATCCATAAACTGAAAAGAGAATAAAATCTTAAAAAAAAAATACAAATTTTAAACTAAAAATATTAAATACTTAAATTAAAATAAACAATTCATAAACTGAAAAGAAAATAAAATCTAAAAAAAAAATAAAAATAAAATACAAAAATTAAACTAAAAATATAACACAATCACAACTTAATTGTAAGTGAAAGTTAAAAAAAAATTATCACAGCTCTATTTATTTTTATCATTCTCTCCTCAGCCCTTGGATCAGCCCTTGTCAATATATGCCAATATATGACACTATCCTCACTATGGATCAGCCCTTGTATGAGCCTATTTATTCATGAAAAAGAATGATAAAAATTGATAGATCTGTGATAAATTTATTTTGTCATTCTTTAAGATTTTAATTTTAATTTTTGTATTATTATTTTTTTTAATCAGTTATTATTATTAATTTTCTTTTCAGTTTATAAATTGTTTATTTTAATTTGTTTGCTTTGTTTTTTTAGCGCATTTTTTAAAAGCGCTAATTATCAAAACTTTCAAAGAGCTGTGACCAAGTTGTCAAAACAAAGTATTATATGCATGGCCATATAAAGCATGCGACTGCATTGTTACATGATCAGTTTTCATGGAGTCTAGAAAATACATATATTCAGTCTTCTTCATGTGTTGTTTAAGATTGCTGGGCCAGAGTGCAAATGTCTTAGACAGTGTTTCTTCCATTTGTCGAACTTTTGTAATGCACTCTGCAGTGGACCTGCATTTGATCAGAATGACTCGTAGTAAATCATAAGCAATCTAAAATGTAGAAAGTATAACAACCGAATCTGCTTTCCTCTATATATATTAGACCTTGTTGTGAGATTTTGTTGCATAACAAAAAAGCGTAACGAATGTAAACTTAACTCAACAAAGCCAACATATTTATATCAATAAAAATTAAATTGCATCATTGGCGCATTTTAAAGTATTGCATTATCAAATTTAATTTTAAACCACATTAAAATTCTTTTAATTGATATAACTATTACAAATAATACTTATGAAATCAAAATTGTTTGAGAAAGATTTTTCCTTATTACCTATTTCTCAAATAAAGCTTATACATAACTTAATAATCTTTTGTTTGCTTTCCCACAAAAAGTATTTAATATAATATTTTTAATAAAAATTATGAGCTATTTATAGATAAACTCCATCAATTACCAAGCAGATGTTCATAAACATAATTTATGCTCATAAATAAAAAAAAAGAACTTTTTGTGAAATTGAATTATTAAAGTTGAATTATTCAGAAAGAAAAATTTTTATTTGTGAAGAGAATTCTCTTAAACAAAAACGTTTCTCTGTTTCTTAATTAAAAATTAAAAAGTTTTATCGTTTTATCGTATTTTAATCAAAGGTGGAGAGTTTAATGTTTTTTAATCTAAGGTGGAGAGTTTAATGTTTTTAATCTAAGGTGGAGAGTTTAATGTTTTTAATCTAAGGTGGAGAGTTTAATGTTTAAAAGAATAAATTATTTGTTAAAGAAAAAATTGTTTCTTAAGTCAAAAAGTTATAAAGATATTTTACATTCCTTTAAAATAAAATAAAAATTTTTAGTTTTGAAATCGTATTTAATATAAAAGTTTTTAACTAAAAAACTTTAAATTAAAAATGATGAAAAGTTTTTTAACAATATTTTCAAGTATAAAAAAAATTATTTAAAAGTATGTTTTTTTATCAAAAATAACCAGTCATTTTTTTACAACAATTATGACTTGATAATTTCTAAACAAACTTTATCAAAAGATAATTTAAATGGTACTATTGATAATAGTACCATTTAAATTATCAAATAGTACCAAAATTATTTGGCATAGGTATACTTAAGTTTAGAGCTTGCACAAGCTCCAAACTTAAGTATACCTATGCCAAATGTGTGAAATTTCTGCGAGCTCTAAAACTTAAGTATACCTATGCCAAATGAGCAGGCCTTGCAAAAAAATGGGATGATGGAGGCCTGGGAACAAAAATGCCTAAAATGCTTGCTCCCCCCCCCCCTCCTCCAGAAAAAACAACTACAACAAACAAACAAACAAAACAATGTGAAGGTACTAATATTGTAAAACTTCAACTTTACTATCTAAAACTAAATTTAAATTTTGTCGAAAAATATTGTAAATTACAAAAGTTATGACCATGCAAAATTTACACCCCCTCATTTTTTTTTGGGGGGGGGGGGTGTTTTAGGGCTTTTTTGCTCCCAGGCTTCTGTCTTCTTTATTATTTGCAAGGCCTCCTCATTTAACATAGGTATATACATTCATAAGTTTATTGTTTGCACAATGTGTGAAAGTGTCCTATTTGGAACATCAAAAAATCCTGAGGGCCCCCATGTGCGTGTGTGTGCATTGCATTGCATTGCATTGAGGGAAACTATACCCTCTACTCCCTATACCAAACATCTTTTTATGTTGGCAAACTAGGATCTTTGGTCAGAATTTTAACTTTTCTATTGATTAGCTGGTTAATTGTGATAAATTAGAAAATTGATGTATATACTTTTATATTGAACCCTCCCCCCACCCCACCCCCATACGCTTTTGTACACTTTTAGAAGATCTCCCCCTCCCCCCCACCTATGAGCATACATACTTTATGGACGACCCTTTATACTTATTTTTTGATTTAAATAAATATCATAATATTTTACTAGTCACTCGATAATCAGTATCAAGTCTTGGTTATTGTTTAGTTTTGATACAATACCTTACAGTATTGATATCATACAAATCTGGTACCAAAGATATCGGTTATATTGGTATTGTTTCGGTATCAGTGGTATCATTTGTATTGCTGCATAGTTATTCATGAGAATGTGTACTTTTTTTTTTTTATAACCAATTAATAATTTGAAATAGTAAATTTATATGACAACTGAGAACTATATAATTGACTCATAGTATAATAGAAATTCTTAAGAATTGTATGGTATAATATGACATCATACTTATTGTTCAATGTTTCATAAAGGAAATCATCACAATTTTAGTTTAATTAATTGTGTGGGGTTGCTTCTGTAATTTAATTTTTTATATGATATTTAATTAAATCTCCCATGATAATGTAATTTTTGTCTGGTATCTTCTTTCATTTTGTGTTCAACATTCAGCAAATAAAGTAAATTAATCATCAATTCTTATACATTTCCTCTTCTGGCTTTGTCATAGCTAATTGTAGATACAATCTCTTTAGTGATAAGGTAGATAATTTTTTTTTATTATGCAGGACTATTATGCACTTAAAAATTATGTCAAAAAATGGCTTATGGAACAAGAAAGTGAAAGTGATATAGAACATAAAGTAGTCTTATCATTAGATTTTTAATAGAGACTTGTTAAATGCCAATAAAATCAACAAACAGAAAATAGTTAAAGTCTTTTAGATGGTTAAAAAATTATTAACTAAACCTCCCAAAAAACAATTTTGTATTTTGTCCATATAGTTTCAAAAATTGGCATTTGAGATAATTCCACTTTTCTCAAGGCTCAAATAAAGTGATTGTGAATTGCAATATCTGGAAATGCTTCTGGTCTTTAAATTTTGAATTTTTTAAAAGCCTTAAACTTTTTTTTGTCTTTAAAGTCAATAGTTGTTATTCAATATAATATTGATCTTGAAGTTATGATATAAAATCTCATTATTAAGCCATATTAATACTATTATTTTTATTGTTATTATTTTTATTATTATTATAAATTATGATTTAATAAGTAATATTTAATTCATTTTATTAATCATCAGATAAAACTAGAAAAACAAAGCATGCAGTACGATGTAATATTAAGAAAACAACCACAATTCACAATAGTCTAATAGAATTCAGCGGTGATCAAGTTCCCACTTGATGATTCCAGGTCTAGCCTCACTCTTCTCCATGGTTTTCCTCACATTGTGCTGCTGCAATTTCCAATTGAAACCGTTACTTCCATATCTATCAATAAAACAGTTCTTTAAAAAACAAGCGTCTGTTTACTATAGAGATGGAGAGGTTAAGGCTATTGCACTTGACATTTCTAAAGCTTTTGATAAAGTTTGGCATGCTGGTCTTCTTCATAAGCTTTCTTTTTATGGTGTATCTAATAACATCTTTAAGATTATTGAGTCCTTCCTTTCCAATCGTAGCATAAAAGTTTTCCTTGATAGATAGCACTCTTCTTCATATCCTGTAAATTCAGGGGTTCCTCAAGGTTCAATCCTCCGCCCTATACTCTTTTTAATTTACATTAATGATCTTCAAGATATTCTCACATCTAAGGTGGCATTGTTCGCTGATGGTACTACCATTTATTCTTGTCATGATAAGAAGTCAACAGTCTCTGGTTGCTTGGAGGGGGCCTTTAAGCTTGAAAAGGATCTCATTTCTGCTACATAATGGGGCTCACAGTGGCTGGTGAACTTTAATTCAGATAAAACTCAATTTTTTTCAGCCAATCGTTATTACAATAATTTAAATCTTCCTATATTTATGAACATTAATGTCCTCAAAGGTCATCTACCCTTTATCTTCTAGGATTAACTCTTACTTCCAATCTTTCTTGAAAACCATATATCTATACCGTTGCAAAATTAGCAGTTGCTAAGGTTGCATCTCTTTATCAATCTCAACACTTTCTTACTCCGGATTTTATTCTCTATTTTATAAATCTCAAATCCATCCTTGTATGGATTACTGTTGCCATATCTGGGGCGGATCTTCTAATGATGCTCTTTCTCTTTTAGACAAGGTGCAAAAATGCATTGTAAACATAGTTGGACCTGCTCTTGCAGCTAACTTCCAACCACTATCACATTTTTGTAATGTTGCTTCTCTTTCTCTTATTTTAAAATACATTTTTATTATTACTATTTTTACTATCAATTAATTAATTTCTATTTTAAAACATTTAAATTTCTTAATAAATAATTTCTTAAAGTTTTCCCCTAAACAAAAATCGATTTTAATATTTCATACAATACATAAATAGCTTTAATAATATTTTTTATTGGTAGATATTTAAATTTGCACGCAAACAACCTAAAGAAATATTTCCAGATATTGCAATTTGTGACCACTTGATTTGAGCCTTGATTCTATACCATGTGAATTTTTATAATCAGTGTTGTGTAGTATTGAACTGATACTGATAGTATGGACATTAGTATATAAGTGGTATCACTTGATACAAAACCATTCATCTTAGTATTGAAATACAAGATAGTGATTATCTAGTGTCTAGTATTTACATAATATAATTAAATTTATGATACATTTCAAATATATTATTATTATATTTAACAAAACCAAAAGAATAAAAATAAAAATATGTTTTTTAAAGTTTGTACTAAAAAAATAACCATACAGTACTAAGTTTATTTAAAATATTTTTTAGGCTCTGCGTTTAAGTCTTACTTCTGAATTTTGGATAGTTACTGATGATCATATAGGCTATTCTCAGACATTCAGCTATCGTGTAGATGTAAAGCCTGATATAGTAAAAGATGCTATGTCCTTAGAAGATGCTGAAAATAGGTATTTTATAAATTCAAGACATAATAGTGTGCCATTATAACTTAGACAATGTTCCCTTTATTAGAAAAATCAAAACCTTAGTTTTATTTGCAATTTTTTTATTTCTTATTTAAAGTTAACCATATGCCATTGTATTTTAAAAATTACTTTTGTCACAGTCTTTTTCAAATACATTTTACAAGCTGTATGCTTTCTTCAGTTTTGAGTTACTGCATAACAAGATTGCTCATAACAAATTTTTTAGATTTTTATCTCAAATAAGAACAAATTTAGATTATTAAAAAAAATATGGTATACAAAAAAACATTGCCTAGATTATAATGTTGCACCCTGTATTTTTTAATATAGTTTTATTAAGTTATACTGTTATTTAAAATTTTTTAAATATTCATTATTTTAAATTTTGTTGAATGTTTGACATAGTTAAGTAAACCAAAACTCCTGCTTTTTCAACAGCAATATTAGCAATGCTTTGCTCAATCTTGCATCAATGTTGCAATGGTGGTGTGTCTTGCATCAATGTTGCAATATGCTGTTGTGGTGTAGTGGTAAAACACTTGCTTCATAAGCAAGTGTTTTACCACTAACCAACTTGTTTCTCCGCGCAGCGGCCTTGTTCGTCAAGGTTCATGTTTCGGATTTATAGTGTTGAGAGAGGGTTATAACTACTATTAAGTAGCCTCCTCGTCTGTAGTAGCCTTCTCAGCCTTGAGGAGGTGAATAAAAAAAAAAAAAAAAAAAAAAATAGTGTTGCAAAATAAAGCCAAAGTTTTGCTATGTCATGTTTTTATCAAACTTTATTATTATCATTCTCAATCTTGTTTTAAGACAGCTTTGTTTTTTGTCTAAAAATTTTTTTAAACTTTTCTCATAAGTGTATTTTTAAATATAAGTTATATACTTTTTTAATGTAAATATCAAGATGGGGAGGTGATTTGATTATGGTTATTTGTCAACAACTACGACAAAGGATTCTCTTTGGAAAAAGTAATTCGCCTGTCAATGATGATATTACTCCTATTCGCTATATCATGCTTGAGTTGATAGGAAAGACTCGGTGGAAAGGATTTCATCAGTCAGACTTTCGTAGTATTTATGGGCTAGATCCAAGATCAAGTTTTCATCATGTAAAAATTCTTAATCATCACCATATGATTACAAAACAGGTATGATCATTTTTACATGATATTTTTATGATTTATATTGATAATGACGAAATTTTGTAGCATCTCATACTGAACAGCTATTTTTCTTCCTAATGTTTATGTGTGTTATATTTGAACACTAAAAATGAATAATTAAAATAATAGCTATTATTATAATAACAAGCTATAAATATAAATAACCTATAGTTATTAATTATTTAAATTAATTAGTTATACTATAATATCATCAAAATTGCAATAATCTAATCATATATATATTTTCAGAAAAATTCTTAACAAACATTAAAAGCAAATTTAAATAACTTTTTTTAGGCATATTTAACATAAACTGTAGTTTATAAAAATAAAATTGTATTTTTATTAATAGAAAAATTATTTATATCTAAACTAGCAAAAAGCAACCCGTAATACAGGTTACGGTCGGTCTGTTACATAACTAATTTATAGTGGCTGTTATCCACAATTTAATGTTGCAAAACCTTAACTAACACCCTTTTAGAAAAACGCCTTTAAATTGAAAAAATTAATCCATCTGTACAATTAACATAAAAAGTATGAGGTAAAATAATTTACCAACTACTACTTAACATTTATAATTACTTAACATTATTTGAGTAATTTACGACTGACATAATTCATAACAGTGTAAAGCAGAACCATTTTCGACATTCCTAAGTTCAACACAATACGTTTTTAGTTACTGACACAAAAATAATAAGACTTCATCGTGCTTTAAATCGACGAGAGTATCAACTAAATCCTTGCAATAATTTTTGTAAGATGAACTAATAAGATTAAGATGAAGTTAACTTATATTATACAGGAGTTATCAATTTTTTGGTATCCCTTTGATTAATTTTTCTTTAGAAAAGAAAACAGTTAACTTAAATCGTTAAATGTACACAACTAAATAAATTTATTAAGTTTATTATAAATAATTAAGCAACTGAGTACAAATACGTTTCAAACAGAAAAAATTTAATTTACAATCAAACATTTGTAGAACAAATTTTAAAAAATATGTTAACTCTGATTTTTTATATTTCATTAATGCGTCATATGACAAACCTAAAATTGTAACAGATAAGTAGACATAAAAATTTGTAAACCAAGCTGACCGGACCAAAGTCTTGTTAAGTTTGCTCAATACAGACCATTTCAATATTATTTGATTGGCCTCTTTATTACATTAATTTTTAGTAAACGGTAATTTGCTACCATTTACTAAAAATTCCTTTACTTAAAATTCAATTTTCCTAAATATTTTGAGACTAATAAAGAGGTTTCTTCCCACTTTTTGCTTTAATGGTGGCCAGGTGAGTAGAGTTTTTTTATTAAGAGTAATCAAGTTTTTGATGAAGACCTTTTACCAAAATAATAAAATGTAAAACAATGATTTATATATATAAGAATGTTTTCTTTCTTCCTACAAAAGTGTTGCAAATGCAGACTAATCTAAATAATTAGTTGAACACGTAAATTAAACTTAAGTAACTCGATATTTAACAAATGCGCCAAACTACAATTTTCTCCATGTTTTTAAATGGTTTTTAGTTATGACCCCCCATTTTCAGAGATCCCTAAAAATACGTACAACAAATTATTAGGCATAAAATAGATAAAATATATAAAACAAATAATTAATTACATATATTTATATCTTTTTTAAACTAATTGCATATATTTATATCTTTTTAACTAACAAAAATTTACAATAAAAGGAAATCAGTTTTTTTTTTATAAATCTTATAAATGCGTCATAACGTAAATCTAAAATAAAAAAGTAATGGAATTATAATATCATAATTACAAAAAAAAAAAAAGAACAAAAAAAAAAAAAAAAAAAAAAGCACTACATAAAAACGGAAAATCGATTTACCTATTTATAGTAATCTATTTTGAAATTGCAATTAATATAAACATTTATCGAAAATATAACTATAAAATCTGTTGTCTTGGCCTATAGTGAATAAAAAAAGCAGTAAGTTCCAATGATGAAACTACCTATTATTTATTTTTAATAATAGACACCAACGGTAAGGTGAGCCAAGCTGTCTATCAGCACAAAACATCACAACAATAACATTACAACAATAACACATAACAATAAAATCCAGTGAAAATAACAAACTAAATTAAAATATAAAAGGCAAAATTAAAAAACCAATTTGATGACAGATATATTTATCAAAAACTATGAAAAATCTTTAGTAGTAAATTTTCGAAATGAAAATATAAAGACTATAAAAAGAATAGAAAATATGATATTATTAGTGTAACACTTTTCACCTACCATATCTTGAATAGAATGTTTATCAATTTTGAAATAGAAACTATTAAATTCTCTAGTTCTTGAACATGCAACATATGGTTGACCATGAGAGAAACACAGTTTTTGAGATATGTTTTTTTTCTATAAGTTTAATTTTGCGTTACATAATATATGGATGATCCCTAAAGTAAAATACTTGAAACTAAAAAGATTTTATTTATTAAAATATTTGAACAACCAAGGGACAATTATAGTTAAACAATTTAAAGAATTATATCTTTATATAGCAAGCAACTCGTAAAATATATCTTATAAATGGTCATTATCAATTGTAGTATTAAAAAATACGCAAAAGCTCAGTAAGTACATGAGTTTTATCAATTCTCTTCGCACTAATTCTCATTAAAGTCTCATCTTAGAGAGAAAGAGGAAGCGTTTCAAAAGCAGCATGTTGAAAAAAGTAAAAAAAGACATGCAATAAATAGTAACTGGTACATGCAATTAATAGTAACTGGTTTTATTATGCTACCAATAAACAAAATTATTTTTACCATAGCTAAAAGTTAATTTCCAGCATTTCTTAAAGTTCCAGCTTCTCTCTAATTGTTGACTAATGATTAATATAGTAAATTTCACAACATATTAAATTTACAAAATTAAAACCATGTTTCAACAGTGAGCAAAATAATCAAGTGATGACAAAGGCAACTAAAACAAAAGAACACAATTATGTTTAAGATTACAAAAAAAAAAAAAAAAAAAAAAATTAAAGTCATTTAAATTTGAAACTACTATTAATTGTTACTATGAATAGTAAAATTCATACTTTGTTTTATTCTAAACTTGACACTGAATTCTGGCTAGTAAGTTTTCTGTTCATCGAGCAGAAATTCTTACATTTCAATGACAATTAATTTTATCATCCCCAGATCTATCTCTTTCATTTGACAATAAACTTTTTCAAGTCGTCTATTACCATTTACACTAATAACTTCTTGAAAAACCGCTTGAATATCAAAAGCATTTAGAAAAGTCTAAAAACTACTTAAAAATGGTATATACAACAACTTTAAATGTTGACTGGACTAATTATTAGCAGGTATTTTTAAAAAATTCATAAAAATTTACAATGATTTGTTCTTCTATACCAAATAAATATATCACATGATAAATTTGAAGTTAAAAAAAGTAACGAATAAGTAAATACACAGAAAAACATTGTATATGAATTGAAAATCAATGTACCAGATAGAGATAAGCTGTTGAGATACCAGAGTAGTAGTTGTTAAACTTTGTTATTTCATGATAAACAAAATGTATTTATGGCAAAATGATGTCTTGAATGATTTTTAGTAAATAAATAAAAGCAGTGAGTAATTAAACTAACTATTAATCATTTTTAACAACAGACACCAACATAAAGATTAGCCAAAGGTAACAATATTACACAAAAAATTATCAAAGATTATGTTATGTATTTTCAGAATAATTTTATTGAAGACTAGACAACACTTAAACGTAAAGCAGTAACACTGCTTGACTGGTAACGTTGACAAATCTTGCTCTACACCACGTCACACAAGTCACACCACTTTGAAATCATGGAAACCACATTATATAAACATATATACTAACTATAGATCACAATATATTTTTTTAATGTTATATAACATATAAAAACACCTTATTTAACAATCATATGCACATTAGATAAAATACATTACATACTATTATAAAAACACATTTATATAAACACATTTATAAAACAACTATATAACATACATCACCAAATAGACATATTTATCAAAAACTTTTCATCTTTGAGCATAATATAAACATATATGCAAACTATAAACATATATAACTTGAATTGGGCAAACAAAAAATTTAAAAAGATTCATATATAAAGATGTTTTAATGGCTTTTATCCTAATTATTAAAAGCATGTGAAAGCATGAAACTACCCATATTTAACTTTTAACGCTAGACACCATCTAAGAATTATAGTAATCTATATTTTCAGTATTAACATCTATAACACGAAGCTTAAAATTTAACAGTACAATTTAAAAAAAAATTACAATAAATTAGTTACGGAAAATTTTTTATAAAGATTTCATATTACCTATAATTTTAAGCTACTAAACATTATCTACTTATGTCTACTTAAATGTTTTGAACATTTTCATCTGTTTAACAACTGAATTATGATTAATCACAACTCTGGAAACATAAATTTTCTTTTAATTTCAATCTAAATAAATAAACAAATTATAAATAGAAATGCAAGGAAATGCTTACTGCTAGTATATATATATATATATATATATATATATATATATATATATATATATATATATATATATATATATATATATATATATATATATATGTATATATATATATATATATATATACGTATATATATATATATATGTATATATATATATATATATATGTATATATATATATATATATATATATGTATATATATATATATATATATATATATATATGTATATATATATATATATGTATATATATGTATATATATATATATATATATATATATATATATATATATATATATATATATATATATATATATATATATATATATATATATATATATATATATATATATATAGGCTTGGTCGGGAAGCAGGTGCGATCGCACTCCATAACTGACCACGGAAATAATATTTAGTTGCAAAATACCGGCCAGATT